AAGTTGAAATAAATTACGTCGACTGAAAGAAAATCTAGGTCTTGAAGTTTGAAGTGAAGCAGTCGGCATGTAGTTAAAATTTTCCGGACCCGGGTTAATTTCAACATCCACTGCAATAGATAGGTCCTTGATGAAACCTCTTTCAGACAGAGCAGCAACCGTCGAACCATGCTTTGACCATTTGGTGATCGGTAACTTAGTTGAGCGTCTTGCAACAGCAAGGTCTTGACCGCAGCGAGAAGCAGAAAATAGCTTTCGACTGACGCTAAAAGGGCCTTTAAAGGTAGATGGAGGCGAACAGATTGAATTTTGCTTGTCAAGATACTGAACGAACAAGGTAACAAAGCACAAAAGCTTAAAAAAACAACAACGACGACAGTAAGCGGCAGCCATCTTGGTGCACATACATTAAGTTTGTATTTTAGTACTAGTGCAGTATTTGAACAAGTCGCTAAGAACCGAGTTCCGGTTTAAAAGAAGAACTCGAGGAATGAAAACAATGAATAATTTAATAGACAATGGAAACGTTTTCTCGGGCCTTTTAGAGAGCAAACGCCAGAACGCAAACGCAAAAGCACCAGCGCTGTTGCGTGTTTAACCTGTATTCTTGCCAATCGGGTCATTATTTTGTGCAAAAGTGACTTTAAAATGCAAACGCACGCGCACTATCTTCGTGATAGCACAGTTCTGTTGAAGATGAGGATGGAGATTCACAACACTGTAGCTGTGTCTCGTCAGTGTCTTGATTTCTTTGCATAACTGGCAAAATAGGAGTAAAATTTATTATCCAAAGTAAACGTGAATCGAATTTCAATTATTCAGAATTAATAACGATGATCATGAATGATTTTGTTTCAGACTTTTTGAGTCCAACCCAAGAGTTCAAGACATATTTCCCGCCTTTAAGAGTCTGAAACTTGAAGCCGTAATCAACTCTCGATCTCTGTATCTTCACGTCAGACGAGTCATGACTGCGCTGGAAAATGCTGTGTTTTCTTTGAACGACGCAGAGGTTTTCATCGAATATTTAATGAACTTGGGAGAAAGACATAAACCATGGCCCGTGAGGCTGGAGCATTTCGATATATGTATTCTATTATGCCGATCAAGGCTACTTAGGGGTACATATTGTTGTATAGCGCTGTATTATGATGTAAATTACAGTAGCGGGAAGTGTAGTGCTATCTTGGGGTACATATTATTGCTTATGATCCATCAAATAATTTTGCTCGCGCGCGATTGGTCTTAACGCAGTAAGTGACTGAATATTCCCTGGCTAAAACTAAGTGATATCCGAGATTATCACCTAAACGATATTCCCCCGTTTGCAGACCTTACGTCCACCACGATAAGTCTTCGTCTTAAAATTAATGTAATTCAGGGTAATTTGGCATGATCAACTGAATCGATAACGTTAATTGCCCACCGCAAAGAGTTTAAAAGCTCATGTCTTTTACGTCCACCACGATAAGTCTTCGTCTTAAAATTAATGTAATTCAGGGTAAGTAGGCATTATCAACTGATTCGATAACGTTAATTGCCCACCGCAGAGTTTAAAAGCTCATGTTTCGAGCGTTTGCCCTTTGCAATCGCTCTGACGAAGGGCTAACGCTCGAAACGTCAGTTTTTAACTCTTTGCAGTGGCCAATTTACGTTATCAACTCACTTGATAATACTAAATTACCATGTTATACTCTCCCACCGACGCAGCATCACAGTTTTTTTTAGAAACTTAACCTTTTCTTAATTCAATTCAGGAAGCTGTTCATTAAAATTTTTCACGAGCGTCGCAAAATATTTGAAGGATAAAAAACACAATAGCGTCTATTTTGCGCGAAAATATGTAGGGATATTTGTCCTTGGATATTATCTGTTCCTCGAAGCTCACAGTTTCCGCATCTTGGAACAGAAAATTCGAGAAAATGACTGCGGCAAATATTCGCACTTATTTTGGCGCCAAATTGGAGCAATTGTTTACATAGCGCTGTATGGTGATTTAAAATTCAGGTGAGGGAAGCATAGTGCTATCTAGGGGTACATATTGTTGTGAGACGTTGTCTAGTTACTTTATTTTACGGATTTACAGTGCTACTCAGGGGTATAATGTTGTATTGTGCTGTATGATGATAAAACTTGCAGTAGAGGGATGTATAGGGACGGGGAAGAGGGGCATATAGGAGTGCGTATTCGAACAGACATGGAGTTTAATAATCGACGGAACGTGTTTGCTCATGATGAATCTCTCAAGTTGTCATCGGCTATCTCTCTAAGCATTATTGTAACTTATCCTTTCTCAATTATTGTTTTGTCAAAACTCTTCCTCAGGGTCTTCTCTGCGTCTGCATCCGAGATGGCGGCTACCGACTCAGTAGACTCCGGCTGTGGATTGGCCTGCCGCCATCTTGGATTCGCATTGTAGGTGGACCCTGGGCGAGAGTTTGACCCATTCCCAATCACATGATAGAAGAAGCCTTAATTTGGACATTGAGGGACTCGTTTCCGACTAAATGCACCGATTATGTCGCCGAGACTTGGAGGGAGCTGTTTCGCTTTATAACTGCTATTATGATGAGAGGACTGAGGAGAGCAAGCACTGGCACCCTGTGGACTAGGAATCAATCGAAAGGAAAACTGAGATTTTACTAGAGATGACTTTAAGAGGACACCGTCCCAAAGTGGACATAATACGCATGATAACAACTACTATGGGGGAGTAACGAGGTATATGAGTTGTAAGAAGCCTGACGTTGCGCAAAGATTGAGACGAGTGAAAACTGAAACAGACATGAAAAAGATGGGAATAAAGGAAAATTGCGATGAAAAATAAAAAAAAAGGAAGGAACCAGAGGAAGGAGAAAAAAAAGGGATGCGCAAATGTGAAAAGGTGTAAAAACTTGTGTGAGGAAAAAGATAAAAAAAGGCGCAGATATGTAACAGTATGAACACGTCCGTCGGCGTTCAAAACCGTGTGGCAATACGGAGAACGATAGACAGTGAAAAAGACACAATCGAAGAGATGACGCGCTTTTGTTTAGTGGGCGGGGGCTTGAAACATGGAATGTTAGTACACTATTAGCTGCACACATTATCAACTTGGTGCGCGGGAACCAGAGTGGGTCAAAACAAGTATTGAAGTACCCATAGGATCTGCTTTCTCTACATCTTACGTGCATCCTAAGAATATAAAGACAGACAATGTAAATCAACGCAGTTTTTGTATTTTATACACTATATTTCTCTTACACAAAGAAGTAAAAAAATAAGCACAATAGAAGCTGCATTAAATTGTTCAAGGCATTAAGTAAAATATGCGCTAAACGGAGACGCTAAAATGAACCCATTTACTCCCAAGACTGATCATAATTTAAATTCTCCTCACGGTATTAATACACCGACAAACATGGAGTCAATAACAATTAGAGAAAATCCAAACTGGAGGATAATCTTTTACTAGAAACATAATGTTACATCGAATTCTCGGAACAAGCGGCAGCAAAGAGAAACACATTCTTATCAGTTGGGAGAATTTTTCTTCAGAACTTGGGAGTTCATGAGTTAATTAATAGAAACTAAGATAAATAAACAATTATCTTCAATTTAAAAAAAAATAGCATCAAAACACTTCACACGAAATACACTGACATTACACAAACCATGTTTAGTTGAAACTGGTCTAGCATGTCTTTAAAATTCTAGTTACATTATATTCAACCACGCATATTATCAGACATCCTCAAATCATGCTGAGGTAAATTTAAAGCGATGAAAAAATTTCAAGAGATGATTTTCAACAATTAGAAGTTTTATCCTGAAGCCCTGAACGTTTTCAACTACGCACTAGGTTTGCATTAATTAATGAGCCTTTTCACCAAAATAATTCCCATTGAGGACTACATGGCTTACGTTAACTGCTTCTCTCATTTATGAGCGTAAATATTGTCGTACTAGAAACAACAAATTCCATGTCATATACAATAAAAGTCACACCTATGGAAACTTTAATTATAGTGAACTCTGCGTCCCTCTTTCCTAGTTTAGATTACATGGACAATTTTTAGCCTCTCCGTCGTCGTTCTTTAAAACGAACGGAGAAGTGTTTGGTAAAACGGACAAAAATTGGCCAGACTCGTTTGATTGAAAACAGGGTTGTAGCCAGCTTTTTGACTAAATGTAAGCCTCTTCCCTCACAAATTTCAGTTTTTGTTTCAACATTTGCAAGAGTCATATTATCTTTTAGTAAAAGTCAAGCGGGCAGAAAACAATTGTAGGCCGGGCCTACGGGACTAGAGGCTGGCTACACCCCTAAAAGTAGGTGTAATGTCTCTAACATATGGTTAGTAAATTTAATAACATCATCTCTGATGTTTACTTCTTCAAATTAAGCTTAGAATGGCAATCTTGGCACTGACAGAACTAGATTACATTAAAATGGATTGAGTTGAAAATGGTAATCAATTTTTTTGTAAAGATGAAGGTAAATTGTAACAAAGTAACTTATGATGTAGAAAACGGTCTAAGATTAATTCACATATTCAATTCACATACATATTCAATCAAAGTTTTGGAAAATTGAATTGTTTCTTTGCTTATCAAAAGTTTAGAGCATAAAGGTAATTAAAATCCGGTGCAAAAGCCCCTGGTTGGGTAAAAGAAATAACCTTTAAATTATTTTCCATACAACTGATTGTAATACAGGAACAGAGCTGAGTGACATGTTGGTGGAAATGAAAACCTCGTTCATAACAGAGGCCTTGTTGCATTTCGTTCTCTTCGCAAGCATTTAAATTTGTTAAAGTAACAAAAAATGACAATTCCACTGATCAAAATATAATGAAATAGACTGGTTTATTTCTTCACCATAGTAAAGTTGCACATCTCAAGTTCCATTTAACAAAAAAGTAAAAAGTAAAGAAAAATAACCAAAAATTGTTTAAAATAGAGAAACGTTTAAACCTTCCAGGTTCCAACTTCATTCTTTTGAGATGAAAAATAAAATTTTCTCATTTATTTGATTTTCTATTCAAATTTTCTCTTTCCTTTGCCATCAGGTCAAACGTGAGGTCATCTCCAATCAGCATAAAGGGCGCCCAGTATTTGATGTCGTGGAACTCATCTGATTCTCTGAGGCTTTTCATGGCCAGGTTCAGTGACTTGCTTGTAGATTTACCTTCTGCAAGGTGTTGATAAAAGCATTTCATGAACTCGAGAGTAGCCTCGTCATCAATCGCCCACAGGGACACCACAACAGACCGAGCACCAGCCCCCATAAAAGCGCGCGCAATGCCAACCACACCTTCAGCCTTGATCTCGCCCCGACCACTGTGGCAGCAACTGAGCACAACAAGTTTAGCGCGAAGTTGAACATTCAACACATCTCGAATCGTTAAAATGTAATCCTCCTTCTCCGTAGGCACAGTAGATATTCGGTCTAGGTCAGGTGTAAGAGCAATTTCGCCGGTTTCCGGACATCCGTGTGCCGCAAAGTGAACTAAGGAAACGGAACTGAGTCTTTTCAACACCTCACGTTTCGTGGCTTTTCTGCCAGTGATAGGCGTGATATTCAGAATTTCTCCGATCATTTCTACTTCTTCTTTAGCACACGGAAGCTGCTCGAGGACTTTCTCTCCATCGCTGTTAGTAACCTCGGATACCCACGGATCTCCTACAAGTAACGCATCACTGCTTTTGTGATAATCATCTGGGCAATCGGCAATGAGTCTAAGACTTGCTAACGATGGAACGACTCGGATTGTGAACGATTCACACAGGTATTTAGAATTACCATCCTTCAATGCAGCGTAAGGGGCGATCCACAGGGATCCATCAGGAATAATGAGTAGCTCATCCCCTTGAATCAAGTCAGCCACCGGCTTCATAACGATATCATACAAACTGCTCAAGCATCCGTCTTGTTGGAAGTGAGGTTGAGGGTTGGCTTCTTTGGTTTTCTCATCCACTTTTGAACGGCCCTCCCTCAAAGCATCTAAAGATCGATTCTCGCATCTCACATTAGAACGAACACCAAGTTGTGTATAGACACCGAGCATGAACGACTCAAAGGACTGGCTAGATCCACTATTCTCTGAAACAAAACCTTTGAGTTTACTTTGTCTTAACTGAACTTGTTTTCCTTCGGACACAACCCAAAGATTGACGTTAGCTTCATCCACTGCCTGAAAGACAGTGTTTGATGGAACGTTTTTTAAAACTGCGCAATCTTCATCTTCTCTCTTGTGGTGACTTGTTCCACCACGAAAACTGGATTCCATGAGGTCGGTTAGAGCTTGAGCTCGTCCTTTCTCAGCAACAAATAAGGCTTCATCTACATTACCTTGTTCTACGAGAACTCTCCACAAACCCGTATACGCCATTTGATGCTGATTTCGAAAATTAACTTTCCACTCATCTTTAGATTTTAGAAGTACTCTCAAGGAATTGAATAAGCTTATGCTAGCTTGGTAATGTTCAACGGCTTTTGGCAGTCTACCTTGCAACTCAGAAACGCGTCCTAATGAACAGTAGGCTATTGCCTCCAAGGATTTGTCTCCTACTTCTTTAGCTATTTTAAGATCTAGGTTGTGGTACTCTATGGCTTTTTGAAATCACCCAGACGGCGATAAGCATTGCCAAGATTGCCATAAGCACCACCCTCCCCATGCTTGTCTCCTATTTCTTTAGCTATTTCAAGATGTAGGTTGTGGTACTCTATGGCTTTTTTGAAATCACCCAGAAAGTGATAAGCATTGCCAAGATTGCCATAAGCACGACCCTCCCCATGCTTGTCTCCTACTTCTTTAGCTATTTTAAGATTTAGGTTGTGGTACTCTATGGCTTTTTTGGAATCACTCAGACTGTGATAAGCATTGCCAAGATTGCCATAAGCGTTACCCTCCCCATGCTTGTCTCCTACTTCTTTAGCTATTTTAAGATCTAGGTTGTGGTACTCTTTGGCTTTTTTGAAATCACCCAGACTGTCATAAGCAATGCCAAGATTGCCATAAGCACGACCCTCCCCATGCTTGTCTCCTACTTCTTTAGCTATTTTAAGATGTAGGTTGTGGTACTCTATGGCTTTTTTGAAATCACCCAGACTGTGATAAGCATTGCCAAGATTGCCATAAGCACCACCCTCCCCATGCTTGTCTCCTACTTCTTTAGCTATTTTAAGATGTAGGTTGTGGTACTCTATGGCTTTTTTTAAATCACCCAGACGGTGATAAGCATTGCCAAGATTGCCATAAGCACCACCCTCCCCATGCTTGTCTCCTACTTCTTTAGCTATTTTAAGATGTAGGTTGTGGTACTCCATGGCTTTTTTGAAATCACCCAGACTAGAATAAGCATTGCCAAGATTGCCATAAGCACCACCCTCCCCATGCTTGTCTCCTACTTCTTTAGCTATTTTAAGATGTAAGTTGTGGTACTCTCTGGCTTTTTTGAAATCACCCAGACGTTGATAAGTATTGCCAAGATTGCTATAAACACACCCCTCCCCATGCTTGTCTCCTACTTCTTTAGCTATTTTAAAATGTAGGTTGTGGTACTCTATGGCTTTTTTTAAATCACCCAGACTAGAATAAGCATTGCCAAGATTGCAATAAGCACGACCCTCCCCATGCTTGTCTCCTACTTCTTTAGCTATTTTAAGATGTAGGTTATGGTACTCTATGGCTTTTTTGAAATCACCCAGACGGTGATAAGCATTGCCAAGATTGCCATAAGCAACACCCTCCCCATGCTTGTCTCCTACTTCTTTAGCTATTTTAAGATGTAGGTTGTGGTACTCTATGTCTCCTACTTTTTTTTGAAATCACCCAGACTTTTTGAATAAGCATTGCCAAGATTGCCATAAGCACGACCCTCCCCTTGCTTGTCTCCTACTTCTTTAGCTTTTTTAAGATGTAGGTTGTGGTACTCTATGGCTTTTTTTAAATCACCCAGACAGTGATAGGCATTGCCAAGATTGCCATAAGCGTTACCCTCCCCATGCTTGTCTCCTACTTCTTTAGCTTTTTTAAGATGTAGGTTGTGGTACTCTATGGCTTTATTGAAATCACCCAGACGGTGATAAGCATTGCCAAGATTGCCATAAGCACCACCCTCCCCATGCTTGTCTCCTACTTCTTTAGCTATTTTAAGATCTAGGTTGTGGTACTCTATGGCTTTATTTAAATCACCCAGACGGTGATAGGCATTGCCAAGATTGCCATAAGCACCACCCTCCCCATGCTTGTCTCCTACTTCTTTAGCTTTTTTAAGATGTAGGTTGTGGTACTCTATGGCTTTTTTTAAATCACCCAGACGGTGATAGGCATTGCCAAGATTGCCATAAGCGTTACCCTCCCCATGCTTGTCTCCTACTTCTTTAGCTTTTTTAAGATATAGGTTTAGGTACTCTATGGCTTCTTCTCCCCAATTATAGAAGTCTATGACTTTCTTGATATCACCTGAACTTGCACTAACGTGGTCATGACTAATAGGATCTTTTTCCTCCATGGACTTATCTCCCACTTCTCTGGTAGACTGAAGTCTTAATGACAACAAGATCCTATTGTTTTTGTCAATCTTTTTTTATGTTAAGGGTTAAATGTGGAAAAACAAAAAATATTATGTTTCTGATCATATTGATATGTAATAGTCCATTTAACATTTGCGTGCTTGGTTCCCAAGCCTCTGAACAAGAGGGATGATAAAGGCTGACCTTGTTATGATAAAAACATTGCTGCTTTTTAAATGCAAACTACTTTGTTATTATCGTTTCTAGATACTAGTCTCTATCACAACAAGGTCACCTTCAGCCTCACTCCAAATCAAAGGCTTGGCAACTAAGTACACGACTATAAAATGGCCCATTAGGAGGGCTTTGCATGAAAGGTAGATGATTTATCAACATTCAGTCTTAAAGTCAGTTATGAAGTAAATCTACACTTCAAAAAATGTTTTTTCTGTCTACAGCCTCAAAATTTAACGCGAAATATCTAGATTTAATCCTTAGTTTCCAAAAACTGAGCAGCACTTGCTCAATTTTTAAATTAATATAGCTTTAACATCAGACAAATGTTTTACAGCAGTGGAAGAAATGAGTCTACAACACAAACACATGTCTTTAAAATTTTTATTTGTCCATAGGAAAGCAGAACGAAAGTTTCCGAGTCTCTAAGTAGTGGGAAAAAGGTCGAAGGCAAGAAAATCTGCATAAAATATGTAAACATTACCGAGCTTTTTGTTCTGGCTTGTTTTAGAGAGATCATCTACCCAAGTACTATGTATAAATTGGATGAATATTAGTCTTCTAACCCTTTAACCCCCGTGAGTGACCAAAAGAGAATTTCTCCTTACAATAGCAATACAATATCAATCAGATAAGTGTTGAGAGTAAAAAAAAATTTATCAATTTGAAAATAGTCAGTTGATGCAATACTGAATTCTCTGTACTAACATTACAAGAATTGTATGGTTGACAGTAAGGATAATTACAAATTTGGTCTGGGAAATTAAAGGGTTATTTAAACTAATGTACCAGTTATTGGCATGGATAGTAGAACTAAGTCAAATTGGCTAAAAGGAGTAATTTCATTAATAAGTCATGAGGTAATAACTTCTCCTATGTTTTTAACCACACACACTTAAAGTATATGAGCTGATAAGTTCCCATCATAATCAAATTATGGAAACTTTTTTTAATACCCACGGTTAAAAACGAAAGATTCCTTCAAAGGATACAGCTAATCCCTTATCACACCAAGTGATTGCTTCTTCAAATCTCTTCAATTCAATACAAGCAGTGGCTCCTGTAGGCAACAACACAAAGAAGCATACTATTACTGTAGCTCAATTCTGAGAAAAGAACCTGAAACCATTGAAATCATTACAGACCAGAAGAAAAAAAAAGACAAAACAAAACAAAATAAACTAAACAGGCCCTATTAGGTTTCAGTTAGATTTACTTAGCTTTACAGACAACTGAAACTTCTAAGAACACTTAAATTGGGATCAACAACTCCCACAAAAACACTAAGAGTTAGGTGCTGATCCTTCTTTCTAAAACAACTAGATAGTGACTTAAGAGCGTGTCCACGAGAGCACCGGACAGTCGTGCTACATGCCATCTCACCGATTTCAATGAAACTTTGTCAGTTTAAAGGCTCTACCCCAAAACTCAAAAACACAGACTGGTTTCTGTTTTGGTTTTTTCCGTGGGGAGATAGACCACCTCCCGGTTTTTCTTGGTTTTCTTCTTCAAATAGGTAAAATGTATGAAGCTCTCATTGCGATGGTATTTAACCAGTTACTTTGAGGATTTGCACACATATTTTTACATCCTTAGTTAATGGCCGCCGTAAGTATCAGTCAGTTCGATTGACGGCTTGTCAATCAACAGAGGCAAATATACGACAGTGTTTTTATACTTTTCGATTCATCTAAATATTTGACAACTTTGAGGTCAAATATCTCCCGTTGCCAGAAAGCTACAACACTAATCTTAATTACCCTTTATAACCCATCATTTCATCTCTGAAAATCATCAAAAAAATCTTTGGGCACTACCATATTTTTGTCTTGGATACCTTTTAAAATCTGCGACTGTGACAAGTTTCTCTTAACTACACCTGTCACGCACTTCTTGCTCCAGGCGGTCACTTGACAAAATAAACCTATATTTGTTAGCTCTTTATACAAGATGATTGATCAAGAAAGGTGAAAAATGTGAAAAACGTTCGAGAGTTTTGGTAGGAATGGAAAATTTCACGTTTAGAGAGATGCATGTTGACGAAAAATCAATGGGAAAATCGTTGCGTTTCTTTCTTCAGTCGTTTATTACTTTGAAGATTTGCTAAAATCAGGACATAGGGCTCTTGTACAAAACAAAACATTCATTAGCCTAGACTTTGATCGTCCATTATCATTATCGCACAGTTTACAATAAGGAAACTGTAACAGTAGAGGAGATTTTAAAGTCACATGCCGCCTGCTTGATGACGTACAAGTTCCCGAGTGTAACAACTTCGGCTTTTCCATACCGCGAATGACGGGAAACTCTGCCCCCCTTATTTGATAGGAAATATCAATAGCCCCATAAATTCATTAACTACGCCATGTTTCCAGAAAATGAGACTGGAAAATGTTTTTTCCACTTTCCACCATCAAGAAATTCCACGTATAGAAATAGTATTTGTAGGGTTACTGCGTGACTTTTCATGAGAAGTAAAAATTGTTCATCTTTTCTTTTCAAGAAGACACTTCTAGAAAGTTCTTAATCCTTCTGTTATCTTATTTTCCTGTTTTTTGACTGCAAATATCATTTGCATTTGCTATTATTTTCGCTGATTGTCATGGCCTTTCCTGCGAGCACGTGCGAGCTAGTTCATATACAGGACTCTTTCGAGTTTCTCTGGGTGGTGTCGGGCTTAGGTGTGTAGGTCTGGCTCGAAAGATATCTGCACGCTGCGACACGGGTTCCCATGTTTTCTCCTTTTTCTTCATTTGGATTTTCATTCTCTTGCTTGCATTATCACACATTTATGTTTTTTTATTCCCTCAGCGCGTTCCCTCAGATTTGGAAGTAGGCCATAAAAAGTCAATATTGACCAGAACTGAAATCCTTTTCTATCACTATTTGTTTCAGAGAACCCCCGTCATTTGTGACTTTATTTCTCAAGAAAATGTGTTTTTATTTGCTATTTATTTCCATTAGAACATGAAACTAGGTCCTGATAAGTTTTTTTTTGTCTCGCGACTCCCAAAAACTGTGTTTGCGACAACATCAATTGAGAAATCAAAGGCAATTACGCCTGAGAAATTCGCTTGTAGCCTTCTACCCGCAGAAGGCAACTCCATATAATGAAACGTTCTAAGACTTCTACAAACTAGAGACATTGCGTGATGTTGAGGGGTGAAATATTTACCCTAAATCTGTGACCCTCAAACGGATCACGTACTCGTACATGTAACGTCCGGAAAATGTCACGCATGCATAACACCTTAGGCGCACCTGGCGAATTCTATCCATTGGCTTCAATAGCAAAGAGACAACTTATTTACTATTTGTATATGAGAAAGCTTATTTACCCTACTTGAAAAATCCTTGATGAAGTCTACTATTGTCAGACGAAACGCGTGGGAGATAAAAACAAGTTTTTACTTTCTCAG